TTTTCTAAAACTCTCCGGATGATGTTTATGTGAAGCCAGGACTGAGAAGCGCTGGACGAGATGACGTCCAAGTCCTTTCTGACTTATGACCCTGGGATGGGCTCTGAGAGCCAGAGCTGGGATTCCTGGCTCACCAGCTCACCGAGTGGATCTGCAGACATTCAGGGGCTATTTGGGAGCAGACAGATCTTCCTAAGATCCAAAAATCTTGCACCTCTTGGCCAGCTTTTTGGTGGTTTGTGTGTTGTCCCACTATTCTCCCTTACGTGCCTGAGATAGAAACCCTGTGCAGATATTGACTCTCTCACCCCAAACAAATGAGTGTACACAAGCACACACTCACTTGCACATACACTCATCATCCTGTGCTATAAATGTCTGTAGACACACACAAGAATGACCACATTGGAATATTCAAAATCACACTTAAGGGCTTATGATACACACACAAATAAAGCCACCAATAGAAAGCCCAGATTCTGCACACTCAGAGCACGTGGGAAAGGATGCGTCTTAGTGGAACTGGTCTATTTGAGCTAAGGGGCGCCTCTGTCTTACCTGCAGCCTCGCCTGGGTCAGGGGAGCAATTGGGGGTGGGGTGGGGTGGGGTGATTATCTTCAGTAAAACTACTGAGGCTGAGGCCCACCCACAGGAGACTGCTGAGTGCAGATGCTAAGGATGTCCTTGTTTCTTGTGCAGATTCGAGCTGATGGTCCCCCCCATGGCGGGGTTCAGTATGAGATGGTGTCTGTGCTCAAAGACGGGAGCCCCATCCTCCGGGACATGGCCTTCTCCACTGATCAGCGCTACCTATACGTCATGTCAGAGAGACAGGTAAGTGCTGGCGCCTACTCCTACTTTCTGAAGCCCAGAGGAGCTGATAACCTGTGACCTTTATGCAGAAGCTGTTGCATCGAACAAGGGAGACCTCTGGGCTTGCTACTCAGGGGTCTGGGAGAGGCAGAGTCCGGGGAGGCTCCTGCAGGGAGCCAGAGAGAAGCATCGGGGGCCAGCCACTTCCCGCAGGCTTCTCTCTAGGCCACAGCCCCTGTCACAGAGCGTGATGAACAGCCCCGCAGGAACGGGCCAGACTGCGCGGAGCAGCTTGGTGTGATTAGGAGGTAGATTTACTGCTCCCGGGCCCACAGAGTCTGCTGCTTGAGGGAGCCAGAGAGGTGTAAATAATCCGGGCCTCCGGGGCTGGGCCCAATCCTGGGAGAGACAGACCCAAGAGAGGGCCTCCCCCCAGGAGATAAAAATCTTGGCCTGCGCCTTAGATGAGGCAGGGTAGAAGCTGGCCAGCACTGAGAAGCTGAAGCTGTGCCTGAGAAATAGGATTCTACCCTCTGCTGGGCAACCGCTGACCAGGTTCCCCACCCTCTGGGCTAGAGCATTACTTCCCAGGATTGTATCTGCTCTGAATATGTGTGAGCAGCGAGAAGGCAAATGTAAGGAGAGCCATGGTGAAGGGCAAGATGGGGGATTCTCCAAATCAATGGAGATGCAGAAAGCAAAGTCCTTAGGAAAGGCTGGTTTTATCCATTCAATCAGTACGTGGGTCAGCAGTTGTTCAGCAGCATTGGTGGTCTTGACGTTGACCTGAACACGGTAAGCAAGAAAAAGGCCAAAGATGGAGAAAAAGGACTGCGATTCTGTCTTGGTGCTGAGGACAATGACTTAGGCGAGACAAGGATGCTGGGCTAGAAGTCCAGCAAACTTTCACAAGGTGCCTTCTAGCTCGTGTGTCATTCTCAAAGTACTCTGCCAGGATTCCAGGTGTCCTTGATCAGTGTCACCCAGAGTTCTCTTTC